GTGATTGTAAGAGGATACTGGTAGTATGAGTTTCCTAACTTCTACCCTAATGGATGTCCTAACCACATATAGCATGAAAGCATCCAAGTCAATAGAAACTTTGACAAACTACCTGTGATCACCAAATTTTGGATGAGTGGTAGCCAAAGAACCAGTAAAACCGACACCAAGAACAGGATAACCTGTCAATCAGATCACTAGATAAAGGCAAGTTCATTGAAACACAGTGACAGAATTCCGTTAGACAAATATAGTTAGCATGAAATACTTATTGCACTCTTTTACTGTCACTCATTTAACACATTAGAACCTAAATTTTCAATTATGAAAATCCAGACTTCAAACATTTGTTGTTGCTGCAATATATCCTGGGTCCTAAAACACAATAAAAGAATTCAATTCAACAAATATTTGTGTGTAATAAATTCAACCCATAGCAACTTTACTTCATTACACGTGCCCCAATCGAAGATTGGGGCAGCGTACTTCCTTTAAATCCCAACCTCCTTTGTTTGCGCCTTTTGATATAAGTGAATATTGAAACAAAGTAAAAGGACAAAAACCTGTAGAGACGTTGATGGTCAACTTCCTATGTATCTATCGATATAGTGGTTTTATAGTGCTTCACAAAAATGAGTCAATATCTCTTTTTGGATTGAAATGAAGGATAGAATTTTCAATACCATCTAGAATGTTTTACAATCCATCTATCGAGATGGTGGTTTTGGGATAAAGGAAGAGAGCTTCAGAAAAATGCTTCAATATCTTTTTTCCGATTGAAATGAAGAACAAAAATTTTCAATAGCACCTAGAATGTTTTCCAATCCAAGCTAAACATGCTTATTACCTTCCTTGAGGTTGAAAGTTCAATCTTCTACCCCTACATTTGTTGATCCCAAAAGAAGAGGAAGAAGAAGGATGAGTAACAATCTAGACTTTTTCATTTTGATCTTGGACAGTCCAGAATTGCTACTTAAGAGTGTTTTATGTAAGAACGTTTGTAGTTGCACCACTTTCTTGATCAATGTAGAATGGGAATGTTACTAATGTACCTCTTTCATTGGGGATTTCTTATCACCCTGATCTTTTTATACACTTTTCAAGTAGAAAACTTCACTCATGGAAAAAATTGGATGTCATAGTGAGGAAAGGATTTTTTTAAAAAAGAAAAAAAAAAGAAGAAAAGAAAATGTTCATCTAACATGTGTTGACATACACAAATAAGCAAAAAGAAACTAAATTTTAATGAAAGATAAATGATAACCAGTTTAAATGTTAACAATCAAAATTTGAATTAAAAAATCAGAGTCCTGGTAAGAGAGAAAGCCAGAAATAAATTTTAATTGATCCAATAATTATCAATTATAAGATACAATATCATGTATATCTTGTGTTTTTTTCCTACGCGTATAAAAGGAGAATACTCGAGATAAATAGCAGAAACAAGTAAGCAAGTGAAATTCCAAATACTGTCAAAGCAAGTGTCCGGCAATTAAATAGCAATTATGTCCTACGCCCAAATTGATTGATGAATAGTGTACGGGTAATTGTGTTGGAATTTTGATGTATCAAGCTAAAATATTAAATGTGTATAACATAAATAGCCTTTAAAAGCATTTGATATGAAATTGGACCAAGTTTTCATCGTGTTCAAATGAACTTCCATAATTTCTATAAGAGAAGAAATAATTTATATTTTTATTGTATCAAGATACCATAGAGATGAATTTCACAACAACAGTTACAAACCTGGCCTAGATAGCTTTAGAGCACGATTATAAGCCAGCAAAGCCATTTCTTCAGCAGTTTTACGGCTACAACATTGAGAGGGAACCTGCAGCAAAGAAACAAAAGTATCAGCATTGATTTTAGCTATATTTGACACTGTTCATTGAGATTTTTCCATTATGATTTGGATGGTTATAGGTATCCTAGACAAGAACTAGAATAGCTTGAAAGTGTGCTTCGAAGAACGAGGCTGCCCAAGTTCAAAGCTGTTCCCAGATGATTATTTCAACTTACAAAAACCGTAGACAAGAACGTTAGGTACATATTGTAGATATTCATGTGATACTACAACTTGGAAAGAGGTTTTAGTTTGTAGTGAAACCATTACTCCCTTTATATATTTGCAATTTGCAAGGATGTTTTGGTAGAAAGCTTAATTTTCCGCCCTTCTATTGATAACATGCTCGAATACAGCCATAAAAAGATTAACAGTCTTTGGCAAGCATTTAAACCCTTGAATAGCCAACGCTAGCTGCTTCTACAGATTGATCTAATACATCATAATTTCTTTCCTTAAGTAAACTAATAAAAATTCATCAACTCCTTAAAATCATCAAAATTGAAAAAGAAACTATTAACCCTACTATAAGCACTAGGATCACCCTTATATTGGATGCTTCATCCATGAGCATCAAATTCGACTGCCGTTATGAACTCCGGTGCAGGTTAAATATCCAGAAAGATGTCAAGTTAAAATGAGTAAGAATGCATAATTGCAATCTTCTTTTGCAGTCGATTTCATTCAGTTTGTCCCCCGCTATGGCTAGAAATAGTAAAATAGACATTAACTACTGCACAATTCTTTCGCTATGGCTAACTTTAGCCACCAGTTCTCGCAGATGTTCCAGTCGATGAAAAATTTCATTCATCGCACAACTATGAAAGTATAAGCGTCAATAAAGAATTCTTTAGGGACAGTGCTTAACCTTGCCGAGTAACTGGATCATGGAAGGCCTAGAGTAAGGTACGACAGCTTCGAGGACTGTACCGGAAGCTCCAGGAACTGAAAGCAACCATCCTATGGCCTAATCGTTCATATATAATAATCCGAATACAAGTAAGAAGATGGTGATGAACGGAAATCAAAGCAGAAGTGTGTGAAATAAAGAATTTATGTGGAGACCTGAGAAGCGCCGCCGGAAAGGTAGAGAACAGCCTGAGTAGGACTCAAATGAATGGCATCGACGGCAGCTTTGACCAACGTATCCGTCATTGCTTCTCCTTCCACGGTCCACTCTCTTTCAGCTCTTCCTCCTCTGGAACGATGCCAAACCAGAGAATCCCCAATCTTTTTCTCTTTTTTTTTTTTTTTAATAAATTATGAATTATTAAATTATTTGTGTCCAATAAAGTTATAATTTAGATTCCATGATTTATGAATTAAAATTCTTCGTAGTTTCTTATATAAATTCAGGATTATTTTGTTATTTTTAGAAGAAATAAACATGTTTATGAATTGCTATTGAATTTGTATTTGAAATTTATTTGGAATATGGTCGACTTGTAATTGAATCGTTAAGCTCGATATTTCAATAATGTAGTATGAATTTCAAAAGGATGAGTTTCATTTAGCGCGAGGTTAGGAAAATTGGCCACAATCTAAGTGGTACCACACACCCCAGTGGTACCATCCACCCTACCCTACCTGCACCTCTCTGGTCCGATCGTTTAGCGACTCTTTCTAAGAGACAGGGATGTAAATAGAAAACATTGAAATTTCACGAAGATGAATTTCATTTATTATTAAATAGTTATAAATGGTATGTAAAGAATAATTTAGAGTTATAGTATTTTATTAATGTAGAATACTTACAAATTTTCAGATTTTTTTTTTATATAATTCAGTTTTTAGTTCAACTATTAGAGTGCAACTAACATGCAAACCTTCAACCTTTGAAGATGATAATGAATGTCTAGACATTAAGTTGCTACATTTTGGGCATCGAACATTTTGTCATCTCATAAAAGAACATCTAATAATGACTGAGTTAATGAGTCACCTTTAAGCGATAGCTTATTCAGTCGACATAGAAACTTGAACCAACATGTTTTGTTCCACTTTGAAGCATGTGATTGACATCGGTGCTGCTACAACGGCCATCAACAACAACAAGTGACTTTAGGTGATTCGAGAATAGATGTATCTTTATCTTTGAATTTTGAGTCAAAAGATTTCGATATCATCCATTTAATCTTAGGTGGAGCATAATCAACAAACATAAACTCATGTACCCCTCCAAAAATATTGAATTTTTTAAATAAGATGGTCAAACAAACCCATTTTAATTTCTATAAATCCAATAAAAATTTGATCGCCTATTTGATAACTTGAAATCAGTTCCGAACATATCCATCTAAGAAGAACAATGCCTAGAAGCCACATTCAGCCAAAAAGTTACCTATTTTCACTTGGTATAAATCGGCCAAAAAGAATATCAGAATCATATGTTCCACACCACACTAAGAACACTAAAACAGGTTATAGCTAGGTTAGCTCTGCTGCTAAGCAAGATTGGTGATCCATCATCACCCGCCTGAACTCTTTTTACTCACGTTGCCACACAATCTAATGACCGATATGCAAACCAAGAAGCATGGTTATAAAAACAGAAATTGCTATCTAGTTCAAGCTATCACTGAGCGATGTGTCACGGTCATGCTCGTCCAAAGCGTGTTGCTCATGGCCGCATGCCCATGACAAGCCAGACCCTTGTCATGTCTTTCATTCTAGTGTTTTTACTTTTGTAGTTCTAGGGCATATGGCGCCTCAAAAATATCATGTCTAGGCCTGCCAGACATGAAATGCCTCCGAATGTATTATAGGGGGATATGACTAGTTGTCAACTTCTACCTACCCAAGGTTATATATGCTAAGCCGTTGTTATCTCTCTCTTGCTTGCTTATATAACGTCTCTTTCAAAAATCTTTCTTTCTAAAATCTCTCTCCACCCTCGTTTCTAAAACCTTCTTTTAAAACCGAGGCTAGAGGCTCGATCATACGTCGCTTGGCCGTAGACGACGCAAGAACAAATTGGCTTAGCTCACTTGTCGTTGGAAAGTGAGTGCCACATAATCGCTAGTCCACTGCCTTCAAAAGTGCGATTGTGTCACGATGCACTCCTTAGCTAAGAACTGCCAACAACGAGCACTTAACCCAGACATTAAAACAAAATCAGAGATAGGAACTTACAAATTTCTTGTGAGCTCTATAAGTTCTTTAAGCAATAAATGATATAATACATTAAGTAAAAGAATAATATGGTTCTCTATTCAGTCTTTACAGCATACTAGATGTGTTGCACTTGCTTGATAAAATAAATATATTTTCAGTTGTCTTTAAATATCCTGGTTTCAAATCTCTATATGTACATAACTATAAACATTCATGCTCTATACTACGTGTTATCTTGTGTGATCCGGAACTGGTACATTAGGATTACCTTGACCGAAAACAGAACAAGGAGGAGACCTGGATTCAGCCTCGGTCAATGAACCTTGCATGAAAAAAGAGTCCTCAAAATCTTCGAAACCCTCTTTGCACATAATCCTCAATCCAGCACCAAGATTTACGCAGAATCTTCAACATCCATTCTGCAAGAAAATTTATGATCTCCAGACATGCAGGAACGGTAACCAGCATCGGCTCGAAACCGGGATAAGGACGTGTTACATTTGATCAAATCAAGCAAGAAGAAAATTTATTGATGAGTGGATAATCAAATTGCATCATGCTGGCTAAAAAATTCGATGATACATGGGTACACCTGTTCGGCTGCCTGCATATTTTGGGGGAAGTGAATAATGGCAACATCAAATAGAAAACTTGAATCGACAGCAAAGTCCATGAGGGTGAATAAAAGAAAGGGAAAGAAAATAATACCAGCCGGCCCCCAACTAAATCATAATGAGCATAATGTGGACCTCCTGGTTCTCCAAAACACTTATAGGTAACCAGGTGCTCAGGAATAAGTTTTGCAGTTGCTGCGTCATTGGAATCACCATAAGCAAGATGGAAGAGATCTTATAATTATGAAGATAAGAAAATTATATTGCACATCAGTGCTCAATGAATGTACCTTCTACAGCTACAGGTGGACAAATTAGATCCTGATCTCCAGCCAGCGCTAAGACTGGTATGTTACATTTATGTATATGGTCCTTGTAAAAAAAGGTATTACTTCTGTCTCGTAAACCATCCTCTCGAAAAGCAGTAGTAAGTTGTATGATGAGTTTAGCGGGAATGGTACCTGCATTCATAGATGAACTTGACTTGGTAGTTATATTATGAGCACGAGAAAACAACAATAGTAGATAGATGGAGTTTTTGGCCAGATTTGGTTCTCCAGTGAACTAAAGTTTCAACAACTGAAATGAAAATCAGGCATATTTTCCCAACATTTTTTTAACATTACTTAAACTTGCAGTGAGAATATAGAAATTTCTTGGTGTCAAACAGACTTCAAAAATACTTCGAACAGGCCAAGGAGCTGCCATGGTTTTTACAATAATAAATCCTTAATAATTGACTTGCGTTATAATAACCCATGTTCAATCCTTATGCAAGTATCAGCAAGACTCTTAGAACAACTAGATGTTTCCGTTTCTGCCCTCTTTATGCATAAAAAACTGATTTCCAAACACGTTTGCTTTTTGAAAAAAAAAAAAAAGAAAGAAAGAAAGAAACAGCCATTTCCATACACGTTAACTCGAGAATAAAACTTCATCAAAATGAACTTAAGGATTATTTTACCCAAAAAAAAGAACCTTATAAATGATCCAAGAACTATATTATCAATATTACCTCGGTCCTTATCCAATTTCCTCACTTCCGACATCCCACCAACAATAGTTGTATAAAAATAAAATTTACTTCCAAATCTATTTCATAGATGCTCCTCTTTGTGTGTTCTGTTCATCAATGTGTGTGCTTTGTCCCGGAATGAATAGGAATTGGAGCATTCAGGATTTGCTGGGAAAAGGTATACGACTGGAAGCACGGGGATATAATTTGAGGACAAATCTTACTTATAGAGAGGTGGAACAGGGGTTTCTCAGGCTTTGCTGGGATGAGGTCTTCAACTAGAACCATGTTCAGGCTTTGCTGGGATGAGGTCTAAGACTGGAAGCATGGAGATATAATTTGGGGAGAAATCTTATCGATGGAGTGGTGGAACAGTAAAAAAAATTCCCAAATAAGATTTAGATTATTCCTGTGGGAAATCTTACAGAGTAGCATCAACATCCATGATGTCGACGAGAAAAGAAGTCCCTTTGCAGCTCTATTATCTGGTATGCTCTACTTCTGTAAAAAGGATGCTTAGACTTGGGACCATCTCTAATTAACCACTGCACTTTTGCATCTCACCTCTAGAATTGCCTTCTGGCATTACTCGATTGGCTGCCAGCCCAAACAGGACTATATGTGAGAAGCCTACTCTCCATATACCTTGAAGGCCATCTGTTTTTGATCGAGAAGGAAATCTTCAGCTTAACTTAATCTCGGTAGGGTTCCAGTTGGGTATTCTACGGCTTGATAGGAATGACAGTCTTCAACAGGAAAACAAAATCCGATTGGAAATTCTTCAGTCACCTAATTTTTAGTCTATTTTGGAGTCAATTTTTTTATTGTTCTTTTTTCTTTCTTTCTTTCTTCTTTTTTTATTTTTATTTTTTGATAACTAGGAGTTGAAGCTTTGCTCCCCTATACTCAGGGGCACCCAACTTGTCCCAAGGCCACACCCGGGTACATCAAGGGTTTTTGCTAACTGGAACCCCTTTTTAACTACCTTGGCATATGGGCTCTTTGGGCTATCCTCCCTATCTTGTAATTCCATTCTATCAATGCACCAAAATTGGTTTATCTTCTTGTTCCACAATTGGTGGTCATTTCATTCATCAACCATGATCATTCATCAATGATATATCTTTGATGAAACTGGTTTGCCATTAAAAAAAAAAAAAAGTTAATACTCCCTATACGAACATGTGGCTCAAGGAAACATTTTTCTTTTGATAACCATAAGTTTCATTGAAAAAGAAAAAGAAGAAGAAAGACTACAAGGGCATACAAAGATCCTACAATAAAGCACACCACCATCAGAACCAACCCTTTTCATGAAAAGGCAAATGAAGAAAATCTCACTGATCATATCCCTAATATCCCTCTAACTAGGAATCAGAATCATGAAAAATAGACTATTTGGTCGTTGAGGTTTCAAAATCGATTTTCTATAAAAATTTCACTTATGCTCTATGAGATGGTTTTGGTTTCTATTAGGTTGTAGTCTCTGAAATTTGAAAAATAGTTCTAATTAGTCCTCTAATTTAATTAAACTGATTGATATCTGACCTAACGGAAATATAGGAAATATAATTTGATTATTAAGTTGTGGATTCAATTAAGTTAATAAGGCAGTTTTAATTGTAGTGGCAAATTGCACATATATTGCTCTCTCTTTCCTCCATCTCCCTCTCCCTTCTCTGACTTCTCTCATCCTTCTCCTCTCCTCCTCCTCCAATGGACTCTGATGTGGAAGCTAAGCTCAACTTAATGTAATTAGCAACTTAATATCCCCACCATCTTTTTATTAGATCAACTAAGCTCAAGAACTATTTGGAACTATCTATCCTTTTTCCTTTTTAGCAAATAATACACCTTGTCAATTCAATATATCAAGGTGAATCTCTTTACTAGTTTTTTTTTTTTTTCTTCCTTTAAAGAAACCATAAGTGAAAGGCCTCCTTGCTTCCACTTGATAGACCAGTTGCAAGGGATAAGTTGTAAGCAATACCACACAACAAAAGCATGCATTAAAGCATTCATGCTACAAGAAGATAAATTAAGAAACTTCATGCATGTGATATCATCATAGACGTGGCTGATTCTTTTAAATAAAAGCTAATGGAATCTCACTAAGGAGAACAATTTAAGAAGGATCACTTACAGAAGTTGTTCAAGACGAGTTTTTTTAACATTTCAGGATGCATCATATCTTCTGCCGAGATAAGATTATTTAACCAAGACAAGGCATAAGGAGGACACGATGAAAGAGGATATGAAGCTGATAGTAGAGCTCCTAATGGAACAACTGGAACATTAAGAGCCTGTGCAGGATCTGCCTGTAACCCAAATACAGAAATATTAATGCATAATCAAGAAATTCATGGATTGTTGAAGTGTTGAATTAACAAAAAGAAAGACTCAATCAAAGATATTTGCTAACATTAAAAATTTATGGGTCAAAAGACGTTTGCTAGTTACTCAGTTGAAAACATTTTAGCTCTCTTCACTCACAAGGGGCAATAGCAATTTCAGGGCTGAATTTGAAGAAGTATAGTCAAGGGATGACGCCATAGTAACAATAGCAGCCAATCTGGGGTCTCGTCCTTCAAAACCTTATAAAAGAACATATAAATGTATAAGAAATTACTCATTCCAGATAACAGAAAGAAAAAAAGAAAGTAGGGTAGCAATGCACAGTAAATGAAAATTTCTACCCAACATAAGTAAATTACATATTAAAGATCTTTTCTTTCTTTTTTTTTCTACAACAAAAAAGTGGGATTTCATTGATGAATGAAATTACACATATTAAAGATTGTTAAGGGATAGGAACAACCTAGCAAATGCTAAAATTGAAGAACACCAATGATAATAAAATCACACATCTTACAACAGGTAAAATATCAAAACTTAGCTTAACTGACCGCTAAAACTTAAGATAAACAGCTAGTAAGTTTAATAATTTCACAAATAAACACCACAAAATACTTCAATCATATCAAATGAGGCATAAGAGAAGCAGTCATCCTGTGCTCATCAAAAATGTAATGCAAACAACACTCAAAAGAGTTAATAGTTTAGAAAAGAATTTGATAAAAGAACGAAGCTCTAGACTAAAGATTTTTAATGGATCAAAATATTCATCACAAAAGGGGATATAATAATGTCATTAAGACCTTTCCTTCCCATTCCTTTGTTTTCTTTGAAGAAGGTCCCGTTTTACTTTTCTTCTGCAACCATGAAAATGGACAAACAGTTATACCAATTCTTATTAATCGTTCCATCTACCAAATGATTAATGGCACTTCCATTGTCTGCTTGAACCTTAACATCTAATCTGTATTTCATATGCTAGCATCTTTAGTATGTTGAGATAGTGTTTATAAATGATCTTGGCCAACAATTATAGTCTTGCTTTACATGCAGGTAGGCTAATATGAAGGATAACCAACTAAAAAGGGCTGAATACCAAAGAGATAATGTTCATAGTAGTAATTTATAAAGCACATCGAAGGATAACCAACTAAAAAGGGCTGAATACCAAAGAGAGTTTAGAGTACATGAAGGCATGCGTGTTAGAGAGAGAGAGAAAGGGGAGGGAGCGAGGTAAGGGTGCAACATTTCCATAAAATAAAAGATAAAGCACAATAACTTTTGAGGGTAAAACAAAGTATTCATAAATATAGAATTTAGTCACAGAAACATAAAATGCACGAAAAAGTACAAGACTTACCATAACGAGAAAGTTTTGCATAAAGCAAGATACCACCCATTGAGTGCCCAATAGCAAGCAATTTACCATCCTTTGGCTTGCATATAGCTCTGATATAATCAATCTGCAAATGGAAGTCAACAAATTTTAAATCTCAGTGACCATAAAGCAACTTCACATTTAAATTTATTTAAAATCTAACATGATATCGGTGAGATCTAAAAAGTTCAAGTTCATTTCAGAAACTAGCCACAATTAGTGACAGAATGGCTACAAATGACCATTTCAACAAGATAAAATGTCACCTCACCGCAGTAGGTATATCCTCCAGCAGGTGATGATCAAAGTCCCAGTCATACTTTACAATTAAATCAAGTTGTTTCTGAAAATCTTCAATCGTTGAAGAAAACCGATCTTGCAAATTGAACAATGGAGGTGAAACAGATCGTTGACCGTCTTCAATAATCTCTACAAGCCTTTGACTCAAATCCCTGATCTGGCTACCAATGACTGAGGTCTGTCCTGTTTCCAACAAATTCGAAAGCCCTCCCCTCACCTCATTAAAACGTTCAGATAATTGTGAATTAACTAAAAGTTTTGAAATTTGATCAAATAGTTTAGCAGACATAATCCTTGATTGACCTTCACTTAGAAAGCCAGATAACCGTTCTGACAGACGCATAAAAGTTTCTGTTAACTCTGAAACCAAACTCGACTCATCCCAAATTGTTGTTATTCCTATGAAATCTTCTTCTTCAACAATAGAAAAGTCTGATTCTTTCCCATTGATGCCACTTTCTGATTTTGCAAGTTCATTAAAATCTTTTGTGGACTCTACTGCCACATCTAAAGTTCCATTAATTTTTCTCTCAGAGACTGCTTCCATTTTCTCAGATTTAACTTTGGCTGAATGTTCAATTTCTTTCAAATTTGGTTCCTGCAAGCTCAATCCTGCGCCTCGAACTTCGAGAATCCATGTATCATACCCCTGGCCAGACATGTACCGTGCAAAAGAACACTGCCAATATGAAAACAGTACATGAAAGAAAGGATCCTATGTCAATCCAACAAGGCTGAAAAAATCATTGTTGTCATCTTTGAAAACATTAGCGCAGACAATCTGATGAGTCAAGAAAAACATGACTTTGCAACTTTTCATAGCACGAGAATATGACCAGTATGCACAAAGAAAGAAAATAGACAACAGAGGAGAAGAGAGAACCTGGCATTAAACGCAAATGCCTGATACAAAACCAGGGAACAAAGTTTCAAAGTTGTCTGAAAAAACATGTAAAAGTAGATAGTGAAATTGACAGTGATGTTCAATCTACAGGAAGCTTTGGCTTACAAGGAGAAAAGAAAAATTTGTTGACAATAAAAAACCCAATCGAAGTACAGTGAGTTTCAAAATTTAGAATTTCATTACCTAGCACTTTCTGGTCGTGTTTTTTTTTTTATAATTATCCAACCTAAGATCCTTATTTTAAAATGGATTTGTCTGCAACAACATCATACATTACTAACTATGCTACTACACTTTAGCTAAACAAATTTTGCGACAGATGGAAGTGTTTGATACGTTTGCTTTCCGTTAAAGAAGCAAGCAGCAAGAGAAGGGCATCAACCACTAAGTAGAGTGAGAAATATAATTCCGCAAGGAACCAAATAAATTTAAAGCTCTAAAAATCTTCTTGGCTTGGATATTATATCAATTCGCAGGAGAATGTATTAATATAGTAATCTACATTAATGGCATAGCAACCATAGAGCATTTACAAATCAGAAAAGACCATAAAAACCAAAACCACTTATGAATACAGCTACAATTCTTAGCACAAGAAAATTTACCTCAGGAGCGAGATCATAACCAATGGCATTAGTCCCGACTCCGGATAATAACAACATTGGATGATTCCTCGGAGGCGCCTGTTCAATCGCGCATCACACAGAAAACAATTCAAACCTAAGCGCCTACTTACTCACATAGTAAATCAAAATCCACAAATAAAAAACCGCAAGTTCTCATCTCAAATCTCGAAGAGTTCGAAAGGAATTAGAAACGACCTGAGGGGAGGGATGGTAGCGCCAGAGTGCAAGCCTCCAGTCGGAATTCGGAACAGAGACATAATGAAGTTCATCAGCCGTACAAATCGACGGCTTATCAGGAACTCTCACAGCAGCAGCACCAGTGGAGAATGCTCTCAACTTGAAGGACGGGAAGGGAAGTTTACCTGGAACAGCGGCAGTTCGCCGGAACTTGAGATTGGAGGAGAAGGAGCTGAACGTGGAGGATGCGATGTGATAAGCAGAGAGAAGATCGGATTGTACCGTCGCCATCGCCGGAGACGGTTGCGCGAGGGATGCGGAGCGACGTCACCGACCAATGCGCTATTTTATATTTGTCTTGTAGAGTAAAAGAACAATAAAATGAAAGACGAGTCTGTGTTTTCCTCACTCTATTTTATTTATTCTTTTTTTTTTTTTTTAATTTTTATGGCCAAAAAGAGATAGAGACTTTAGATGGCCGCCTTTTCACGTTAAGAATCAAGTTGACGTGGACTTCACTTATATGTACACGTGGCCTCCCAGCAGCCAACACGGAATACTATCGTTCTAATCCATTTTAACTCGGTAGAAGGAAGATTAAAAAAACAAAGTAATCTTATTAACTTACTTCCCCACAGTAAATTAAATTTACCGAGTCCCTATGGTAGAAAAGGTTATTTATTATTTTATACCGTCTATAAACCCAAATAATTGCAAGATTAAACAAAATTAAATTATTTTCCATAGTTCTCGTACGTATCTAGAAATATAATTTGTAGTCTCGTAGTGTTACTTTTTTAGTGATACAGGTTGGATTTGAAATTTTTTTGAACAAACCCAAAATCTCGTGTTGGTTGGATTGGTGATTCGAACAACCCGAATAGATAGAATTCACAACCCGAACCTAAGTATCTACCGTAAATGTTACATTAATAACTAAAACCTCCTCAATCTTAAATATCAAACATTCATAGGTCACGATGTATCACTAACACCAGTTACAAAGATCAAATATTCTTTTAATATTCATAATAATCTTAAAAATAGGATAAGATTGGGTTGATCAAGTTGACCCAACCAAAAAAATGTCAACTTTCAAATTAACTCAAATTCTTCATTTTTCAAAAATGCAACCCAACCCAGACAGAAATTAATCTAACTCAACTCAACTTTTAGAGTTTGGATTATGTAGTTAAGATTGGTCGGGTTCTCAAGTCATATGAGTAGCAATGGTGGAAGATTACCTATAGTTGAAGCATGTAATACTCTAGCCACGTGATCGTGTCAATAGTGATTTTTTCAATGAGTTGTGACCGCATTGCTCTCATGACCAAAACCTCTTATCTCTTTTTTTATTATTTCTTTTGGCTCCATTTTTCTTGAACACATGGGTTATGATTAACATTTTGAGTTATTTTGAAAGTTTAAATATCAAAATAAAATATTGATATAGGTCGTTTAGTAACTGATATTAATCGTGAGTGAGTTATGAACTGACTATAAGAATTTATCATTTGTTTTGCATGAGTGAGAAATGTCTTTTATAATCTTGTCAAACGGAATTCATAAAAATGTCTGGCTACAAAGTCGAAATTCAACTTTTCTCTGTGTTGAATCGAGTTCTGAGGGTTGTTCTATTGAAACCCGAACTAGATGTAAATTAAGGCGAGAAACTTCATAAATGTGTCAAATAGTAAAGGACTTAGAGTTATTCAACTCGTAATAGGAGGTTGATTTTGTTAAGAAGGAATAACGAGCTATCATCAAAGAAAAGTAGCTTATTGAAACTTTTAAACAAGTTTAAACTTGTTATGTATATATACGAGAGCATGCAAACTATGTGATTAGGAGCTTAATTTGACATGTTAGAAATTCACAGCTAAATATGGTATGAGACGTGAATGAGTATTCTTAGTCTACTAATCTCCGTGGAACCCTTGATCGTGTGTTGTGTGCTAGGTTAGAAAGAATGAGTATTTTTAATCGTTAGGTCGTGTGCTATTTCAGGTTGTCAGAGAGTTTAGTAGATATGCTGTATTTGATCGAACGAGTCTTACATACGAGTCTAAAATTTATAGTAAGCATAAACAGAACTAACAAATAAAATTTATGGTTATCCAAATGACCTTATTATCGACGGGAAGGTTCTAGTAGATGAGACGACCTATAAACAATATGTTACAAATAAATTTTAAATATGAATAAATAAATGTATTTTAAGTGTTTAAAATAAATGAATTAAAATTAATATTTAGTGTATGATTGTATTCATAAGGGTTATTTGGATAAAAAAAAAAAAAATTTACAACCGAATAGCAATTTATTAAATGAATCAATATGGCTAAATTGTGTGGAATATTTTGTATTGGAAAATTAATAAATAAATAAATAAATAAATCAGATTCAAATTCAAAGGTCCAAAAATATTAATAGAAAATAAAATATTAATAAAATGGTATCATAGTATACTTTGACCCGATGTCCTTTTTTTTTTAATTGAATAAATAAATACAAAAAAATAGTTTTGGAACTCTTAATTTATTTGAAAACTTAATGGGTCGTGTCAAATTTTTAGTATGAATTATTCAAAGATAAGATATAATAATAATAATAATAATAAATAGAAAACAAGAATATTTCAAATTGAAAATTCATTAAATACATATTTTGATTTTTTAAATTCTTTTTATTAAAATTTGTTAGTATATGTAACAAAAATGGTAAAACTATTAAGCCTAGCAAAATAATAATAATAAATAAATAACTATAGCACTAAATATTATTACATATTTGCTCTAAATTTGAGATTACGTATCGTTTTTTTAAGTTCTTCGAATTCATACAGTATTTGTAACAAATGGTAAACTTATTTGATTCTAAGCCTAGTCAATAAAGTATTTATTGTCGAAAATCAGATAATCTGAAGTAAATGATCTAAGTAAATATATACGGTTGATTGACAGATTAATATATTTAACCATTACTAGGTTTGACATAGTGTATTCAATTCGTATGCTTAGTCAATTTATGCATGAACCAAGAAAACGACATTCGGAGGCAGTCTTTCGAGTTCTGAGATACATCAAAGATACTACTGATCAAGAACTTCTACTACCATCGAAAAATAACTGAAAATTAAACATATTGTAATTTAGTCACGGGTGGTTGCCAAACTTGGAGACGGTCTATTTCTGGGTCTTATTAGCAATATTGTTAAAATCCAAATGGAAGTAAAATTTTAATAATTGATTCATCATTATAAATTGAATTGGAATGAAGGTTTGTCACTCCACCATTTACAATTATTTGACCAAGTCCCCCAAACACATCCCACCATAAACTCCACCATTTTTTTAAAGCTTTGAAGTTTAGCCACCACTATATAAACTCTCTCCTTCCCTCTCTCAAACCCACTCCCAAAATGGATATTATAGCAACCCCATCAGCTCTAAGCTTGAAGAGGCTATGGAGAAGAAGAAGATACCAAAGACTAGGAAGCGGCACGGGCGCTGCAAGATCAAGGAGCTTCCGCCTCGGGCGGCTATGGAGGATAAGACGACGAGCTCCAAAACTACGGTTGAAAATGGTATCACCGTTCAAAGCTCTAGCGAGATTCCACGATGCGTATGTGAAGATGATGATGAGGGTCGCGAACAGTGTGGGGAGTATGTATGCCATTGGAGGCTATGGAAATGGGAAGAGGATACCAAAACCTAGTAATCAAGTGTCTTTGGTTTCTTGTGGTGGGGAACAAGTTGACACCAAGTTGGTCTTGGAAATGTATAACAAACTTGCTGCTTCCAAGAACTTGAGTGTAGCTGCTTGTTGAAACTCGTTTTGAGAAAGAACAAGACAAGGATGTGATTCAAACTTATGTTGTATCGTTTTTGATTGCAATAAGGATGTTTTTTTTATTGTGTGTTTCTAACATTCCTACAAGGGGAAGGGATTTGTATAAAGCTCTTGATCTTACTTAAAAGACACATCAAGTTCTCTATGGGAATGAAATGCAAGTCAAGTTCAAGCTTATGTTGCCTCTTTTTATTTTATCCTTCTACTTTAATTTTTACTAACTTATTAATTTTTAATCTTGAAACTGAACTTGAATTACCGAACAAACTCCCTCGGAGGTGGGGGAAGGACTTCATGGCGGGGACTTCACACCTAGAACCATCTAAGTCACAATCAAGACCCTCCGTCTTGCTTCATATGCAAGGGGCCCATCAAGTATCTGAATGCCTGTAGAAGACGGCACTATAGACCTTCCAAGCAAAACTCGGAGTGAATTCAGAAGTTGAGTTTGGACAGTAGAAATAGATATATTGTTAGTGGAACATGGTCTGCTCTCCAAAAGAGAGTAGAAGAGACAAAAGAGTCAACGAAACATGATCTTATGTATGTCAAGGCCTGAGTTAATCACATGGTCTTATGGAACATGGTTTTTGTGATAGTTAAGATGAACGACTTCGACATCGTGTTAGGGATAAGCTTCTTATTATAACACAAAGTCATTTTCATCCTCCTAACAAAATACTCGATAGTAACAGAATCCAACCTGACAATCCTTCAAACAAACACCCAATCGTCTTCTAATACATTTGAGAGATGAGTATATTCTCATAATCGTTGGTTCCCTTCATTTTCAAAAGCTCTAAGAGGTTCATGTTCACCGTCAAAAAAATCGATAGCAACATTCTCCAAATTGGTTGAATCGGGTAAAGTAGTCTCTCTTGTTATCAACTGAATCTCTTTTGATGTACCACTACATTCCAATACTTCTTGGTATTCAATTTTGAAAGCAGTCAAATCTAGCAGCTGAGCTACATCAAGAAGATTATCTGGGAGTTGAGTTTCATCAAATACGTTAGAAAAAGCTACCTCCCGGGTCGTTTTGGAGACATTAGGAAAGTTCAAGTCATATGTTCGAACACCCCCTCCTATGGTAGCAAACTTCCCACAATTCTCGTCAATTCTTGAATATCCAAACTTGGTAGGTTCGGAGTAATATTTAACTCTCTTCTCCCTGTTTATTCTTTCAATAATATTAGTCATGACAAAGTGGAAACGGTCACTTTTTCCCTGAATCATTGATAGAGCAATAGATGCTCCATATGAAGGGGGAGGTTAGACTTATAGGTGTGAGTGAGAGAGCGAAAAATTGGGAAAGACTCGTAACTATTGAGGAAGCTATAAGCAGGAGACTTGTAACTTAACAATTCTACTAATTCGAGACTGATCCTGTCAACCAACAATTTCATTTTCAACCATGAGTGTCTCATTCCACCAGACCAATTAAGGTTTTTGCACGATCTCAATTTTCCAAATCAACACGTTTTTTGCACCCTCTATCTCATCTTTCCAAAAACCACATCACCCTCTTCTATATTTGTGTTG